GCTCTTATAATAGCCAAGACTCAAGAAACGCGGACTGCTTATTATTCCGGGGGGCTGTCATGCTGCAATAAACTTGCTTTGGTGTGACATACTAATACCTCGTGCGTGTATGGGCTGCACGTTTATAGAAAAACCGATATCTTGTATTTGGTTAGATCTTCCATAGAACGAAATTGGGAATAGAGTAACCAGAATCAAACTACATCGGAGTGCAATAGTTTCATCTTACAAATAAATTAACAATAATGAAATTCGTTCATATGTTGATCACCTGCTATATAAACCAATCCGGACACCCGAACTTGACCCCCCTTATATTACAACTTGGTCAACAGTAATCCATTATTTTGATAACTCTTCCAGGACTTCACTCTTTCGTTAAACAAAAGAGGCCGTTGACGGCTTTAATACTTCGCAATTGCTGTTATTAGCTAGTCATAATAGAAGAAATCTTACAGACATGGAAACGGCCATCGTCCACTACGAAGCCTTCAAAAACTACCTTGCCACACCTTCTGCAATAGGTACTGAGAAGCTGTGCACAATAACTGTATGCTCTACCCTAACTCTCCACAGTCGCTGATCTCGGGACTTTGACATGATTTTGTCTCTCTCGTCGAAACTTTATTGATACAAGTCACTGCTAAATCTAATCATCGAATGCCGATCTAATATTTATTTGCTATTTTAGAGCAAGCTGGAGGTGCTGGCTCACGAAAAGATGCAAGGGAAAAACTCACAAGACTGTCAAAACAACAATTTCAGGAATTGTCTATTGGTGGGTTAAACGAATTTAGTCGAATTGTTCTATGGCAATCTTGTAGTAACATGCATTGGATTTCAGATGTGTACGACGAATTGTCTAGAAGACTTATGAACAATAATGAAGGTATTCAAATTCATTGATTTTAGACTGACTGAAATATTATTTTAGTCACTTTCCTAGCCTTTATTCAATGGTTTGCTGTTTACGATCGCCGTTGAAAAATAAGTCATGGAATAAAATAAATTATGTTTGTCACTTTCGTTTAAAGTGCCATATCTTCGTGTATGCGATGAATTTCATCCCAAAAGGAACCAAGCTCGCCGGAAACTGGCAACTCTACCAATGAACAGATTTAAGGATCTCGCGAGCGATATTTACTTTGAACTAGAACGACGTTATCCGGAACTAAAGGATATGAAGGTCAGTTCTCATTATATTTATAATTAAATAAAATTATAGCTTATTTTAACATACATACTTTATACATTGAAGTTCCCATCTACCCCGCAGCCACAAAACAATTCCCTAGCGGCTCCCCAAAGGTTAACCGCTGGCGTTACATCACAAGCACCACAATCTAATACAATTGTTCCTGAAATGGGGACCCTAAAAGAAGAATCAATAGAAGTCGATTTTACTATTCAAAAACACAATAATAGTCGTCCAGAAACACCTAATACCAATGTCAACATCAATAATAATGCTAATCCTAACATCTATCCCCCAATACCAAACGGCATGCCGCCGGAGTACAATTCTCCTCGTTCTCCAGGAAGCCGAGTCCAATCTTCTGCATCTTCAGTATCGGATTATGGACGTCGTTATCTTAATGGGATGAGTGTAAGCAGTATCAGCAGTGCTTCTAGCAGAGAAACCCGAGTACGGGATACAACCAGTAGTCAAAAGAGCAAGAACGACGGTGTTAATTTTGCATCTTTAGATACTTTGATGGAAGATTTAGGGAATTTGATTGATGTAAAGAAACCAAACGGAGACGTTTCCAACGCCTCTTTGCAAGTGCAAAACGTGCAAAACGTGCCAGATAAGCTACATGAGGTGAGACATCGCTTATGTTGGAAATTGTTTTTATACTGTCGAAGCTAATTGACTGGGAAAAAGAGCATTAAGAAGTCTTCGTAAATGAGGAACTGGCGTCAATTCAACAACTGCATCTTTTCTTCGATAAAGAACTTACTTATAATTTCCCTTTAGGACACAAGAGCGGATTCTACCGATGCGACGAGAATTAAAGAACTTGAGCAGCTGTTAGAGAAGCAAATAGAAGCTAATAATGTACAAGCTATTAAGATAGCACGACTTGAAGAAGAGCTGAAAGAGCTGAATGAAGAACATTCACATCAGCTTGAGGTAAACATTCCTATGGAATACGATGAAGCGAGATGATATTGTTGGCAGACATTGGAATCTGTTTATATCTTTTTCGCAGGTTGCAAATGACGTTCGGAAACAGGCAACTTCGCTTCTAGAAGAAATCAAATCACTTTCTAGGCAAAACGAGGAACTGGTTATGGAGAAGGAGAAAGATGCCGCCAAGATCAAAGAGTTAACAGCTCAAGCTAGTGACTGGAAGAGCAAATACGAAAAAGTCAAAATTGATCTCAGGAATCTCAAGGGTAAAGATTAATGTCTATCTATTCAACAAAGGATGCCTTTGATTATTCTAATTCTATGGATTTTGATTTGATGATAGCGACGTCATCCTTTGTAAAAGAGCATCCTAAAATTGATGTTATTAAAGATAATTCTTTGGCGCCTTCGTCCGATGGTGCCGTAGAAGAAGCTAAGATTATGGCATATCAGGTTGCTATTGATGGCTTGCTGCGTGCTGGACGGTGAGTTAAATAAGTTTATGGCACATGTGTTTGGAGTGGTACTCAAAGCTTTCTTGTTACTGATTTTTGTTTGGAATCTCGATTAGGTCCGAAGTTCCTACTAACGTCATTATGGCCATGAAGTCTATTCTCGTTGCGTGTAAAGATATCACTGGTGACGTTGAACAGTATGAACAGCAAAAGAGTGTTTCAATGAAACCAGAAGACAAGGAAAAGCTTTATGCCATGAAATCAAAACTTTCAGGCACATTAACCAATCTTATGACTGCGGCCAAAAATCATGCCACTGGTTCGGGAATTTCGCCAGTCAGCCTGCTCGACGCCGCTGCTAGTCATTTGACAGTAGCTGTCGTTGATCTGGTCAAACTTATAAAGATTAAACGTTCTGATAGTGATAGAGATAAACTTAATGTAGATTCATTATCACCGAGCAGGAGCTCTACTCCCACTACTCCACCAACGTCACAGAAGTTGCAATCCAGTAGGAACGATGCTGCTCCTGTATCTGCCCCGAAAGTAGACATGTTTATTGACGAAAGGAATGATCGTGAATCTGTCAATCTTGCAGATTTTAAGGTAACGCGACGGTATTTGCAGACGTTGCTAATCATCAATGATATTGATATATAATCGGTTTTAATAGGCATACTTAGAACGTCAGACGGAGGCTATTGTTCAAGCTATTCAAACGCTGCTGAGTGCCATCCGCAATGGTTCATATGTCAACGAGGTTACCGATAGCATTACCACTATCACGACCATTGTGCAAAATGTCATAGTGGTTGCGCGTGATTCATTTAATTCTCCTGCTGGCGAATCTTTTGCAGACCGCGGAAAGATGATTCTTAAAGATTTAGAAATTAGCGTCGACAAACTCGATCAAATGCGCGATTCGATATCATCTGACAGAGAAGATTTTGCAAACAATAAGACCCTGAAACAGTCACTGGCTAGTGCTGCTTTTGATATTGCCAAGTTTACCAAGGGACTGGTCGGACTAATTGAATGAACTTTAAGTGATATGCATTCTATCACCATTGAAATCTTATAATAGAAAGGACTTTTTTGATTCAATGTAAAACAGCGGAGGTTTCGTGAATTAGATTTTTTTTTTCTTCTGTCCGCTCACTTGAGCCTATTGGTAAAGTGCAAATCGTGTACATATATGAATTCCAGAATAGTATATTCTGTAAAATTATTACTATTATATATTATTATTACTATTATTATATTTATTCGTAACACCAACGATGAATCTCTCCTACAGAATAAATTCATAGATATCTTACACGTGCAAGCATGCTACATGAGATGTCTTTAATGTGACGATAAGTTAACAGTAACCTAAATTGGCAATTAATTCAAAAAACTGCAAGTCGTATCTTCAGATCTTACATTAACGCGAGGTGTGCTTTAGATCATTGTCCTGTTGCAGGCACCAGTTCCTGCCATACATGCTTTGGGCAGCAGGCAAGAGCTAGGTTTGCAGTATATTTACATAGAATGGCCCATCCATTATGTCAGTGAAGCAAAATAGGGCGTTTTCCCCTTTTTGGAAATGCCTCCCCATGCCATCACTTTCTGGCGCGGTTTGGGTAAGCGTCGGATGGGCTTTGTACCACTCTTATGCCACCGATGGTCCTTGTTTCTAAAAAGATAAAGCTGTTTCATCGGTCACGTAAATGTGCCTCCGCCCACGCCTTCCGTCTTTCAATGTGCTGCTCGGTGAGCATTGCAGTCGCGAATTAACCATTGTTACTGATAATGCAAGTTCGGGGATGTCTGACTATCCGAAGTTTTTATCCTGTTTACCTAATTAGTAGCTAAGTCGCGTTTGCAATAAAGAACGCGTTTCTTGTTTATTATGCAAAATATTTTCGATTTTCCAATGGCCATTTTTTTCGTATTTTAGGGGTTTGATTGTCACATATTTTTTCGACGTTATAACCCAAATCCCAGAACATCTATGTTACACGTAAGATTTCTTATGTGTAACCGCGTTATGAGGCCACCGACTTAGCCAAAGTGGAAATAACATAATTACAGGTCGATTTAGAGCCAAAAAAAAGAACTAATTCAGAAAAAGAACAAGGACGAAAGTTAATAAATAATTTCCGAGCTGTTGGGGTGTCTCTGTATGTTATTTCCACTTAGTCTAGGTTATTCCCACTCAGGTGTGACGACGAGATCATATATGTGTCGTCATTCGAGTAACGATTGGTTTACGGGTTCATCGTCACACTTAGGTATCCATAATCTATTAAAAAATATGACGACGAATTTGTGTTCACATCGTCACCAAATTTTATGACACATTTTTGATGACAGAAATATGACACCATTGTCAGTGTCATCCGATTTCCATTGCTGAGCTGATGCATTCAGTCGCGTGTCGTCATTTGCGGGCCCAGTGTGAGGGCTATGCCCGAACTGGGCACGTAATGCCCTAGCTTTCTGGTTAATTCCTCGATGAGGGCCAGGTTTGAGGCACGTAGTGCCGAAATAGTATTCGTATTCTAGCTTT